GCATTAAGTTGTGCGAACGTCGTAATCGTCATTGTCAAAGTTTTTATGTATTAATTTGTACACTAAAATTTGAACTTGTGTTATTTTATTTATCATCTTACAAATATCATCACTGTGGATATTATAAGAACCAGAGAATTAACCAGGTAAGATTTTTTAAATCCATAAGAAAATTTACATTGTTATTTTATGACCCTCAAATTACACTCCGAATCAAAAGTAACTCTTACTCTCATTTTTTTAATTCCAACAACAATATTATCCTAACCTTTTTTTACTTATATATTACCTTCTCCATTTTTGAGTTACGACAGAAGATATTAATTTTACTGTGATGTGTTTTTTTTTTGTGTCTATTACCACTTTTTCTCAGCTTTCACTGAACCGATTTCTTTCAATGATACGTCAAAAGATCAAAAATCGTATATAGTCGAAGACATTACCCTCAAAAATTGAAAAAATTTCTTTCGTTTACCATAAATAAGGAAAATCTCCAAAAAAATTACAAATTTAAAAATTGCTAATTTTCGAAATTTTTTCAATTTTTTTTTCTTAAAACTGCCATAATTTTTTTAAAAATGAACAAATTAATATAATTTTCTTATAAATATCTATCTTAAATTAAACCTAATGTAATATACTTTATTATGGAACAAAAAAATTTTGGACTTTATTTTATCTTCACGGTGAAAATAGCTATCAAATGATATTTTTGTGTGAAAATTCTCGATTTTATATTTTACATTTTTAACTTTAAAATGTTATAAATTTTTGAAAAATGTATGGATCAATACAATTTTTTTATAAGAAATAATATTTTTTAATAATCCCTTTTTCATTCAGGATAATAACAAGAAAATAACAGATCATGTAGCTTTTGGAATAATCCACCAATTTTTTAAAATTAAACATTATCTAATGATATGAATAGAAACGTTTTTTTTTTGATAGTGATTTTAATCACTGTCAGATATTATTATAATTGATCCAACTATGCCACGTCACCACTGTGCCGCGTCCCCCCTGTACTGGCTTTTTTTTATATGTAAATATTTATTTTTTACTAATAAGTAATTATCTCAAAAATTGTAGGTAATAGAAAAAATGCAATTGATGATTGAAAATCAGGACAAATAATATGTCAATCCATGAAAGCTTTATCACATTCAGAACAAAAATTGTTTAGAAAAAGCATATTTTTGTCGATGGTGAAAATGGTTTAAAAAATTCAATTTTTGTATAGAAGTTGCTATTTTGAATCCTCCTTTATGAGCAGATAAAGGGTCAGATTTTCAAATATTTATTTCAAATGAAAGAGAAATATTTATTTTTTCAATTTAAAAAAGAATTATTTTGATTTGTTCATTTTTCAATAAGTTCAGATAATTTTTAGAAAAAAAATTTAAAATTTAAACTATTCAATAGTCTATTCGAAGAGTTTATGCTAAATATAAACTATTTGATTGTATAAAAACAAGTCCAATAGTTATTATTCGATATTTTAAAATAATCGAAAATGCCCATCACTAGTTGATGCACACAGTGTCATTCGTTGATCTATGTGCAACAGCGTACAACGTAGATAAGTCCACCACACTACGGTAATGAACTCGTGTACCGGTCTTAATCTGCTCAATTGACGACCTGACAATGGTTTTGGTAACGTAACCGTGAACATACCACTGAACCGGTGCAAATATTGCGGTGAAGTACATTGGCATCGACAGTGTCCTTATTGATGGAATGAATCCGAAAGTGGGCTAGGGAGGAATTCATCCCAGCCCTCCATCCAACAACAGATCCGAACACGACGGAGTTGATAAAACAGATAACAAATTATCTACGTTACAGATTTTATAATCTGCGAGGCAACCGGTAAAACACTTGCAACTATACAAAACTCAATATCTGTATTTTTTAGTTTTACAGGACGATAAATTTTGTCTGATTTATCACTATATAATTCTGTTTTTTTGTTGTGCTGTAATTACTAGAAAAATTATTAGTTATCTATGAAGATAAGATAGTAAATTTAGCAGGTTTTTAAAAAAATACTGTTTATTGTGTTTTGATGATATATTCATTTTGTTCACTATNCGTTTTGATGATGTATTCATTTTGTTCACTGTCTATCGTTATGTATTTTTTTTTTTAAGAGCTAAGACATTTCAAGACGACAGACACAAAACAAACATCATTATAAAACCAATACCTTCTCAGGTATCAGCCATATTTGTATCCTCGCTATAGCTTTTGATAGATTATTTTTATATTTTACTTTTTTATAAAGATCAATCATTCTAATTTTAAATTATAAGCTAAAAGAGTTTGAAACTAATTAAAATTTATTTAAATGGAATAATGAAAAAGTCTATTGGTTTTATCATACTTCTTCGAATTGGTAACAAATTAAAATTTATATTTAAAAAAATATTGGTATTGATTATTTAATTTGTATGTGCACATAAATAACTGCTTTTCAAGAAAGTGAAATTTATGAGATAAAATCGAATATAATTATTCAGCAGTAATAAAATGTAGCTTCAAACTAAAAATATTGTATGAATAACGTAACAATTTTGTTTGAAAATAAATAATAAATAGCAAATAATAAAACTGAAACATAGTGCTAAATATTTCAGTTATTTGTTCGTTATTCATTTATACATATGAAAAAAATACGTTTGAAAAATAATCAGACTCAATATTAAGAGCATTAAAAGAAACATTTAACACAATCCCAAATACAATTATTTTTAAATAATATTTTTGTAACGTTGTACAACATATAATATTATAAAAATGTTTTTTTAATATTATTTCTTAAAATTGTTACATAGGATTGCGTATTCAATCAGTGACTAACGTTTTTGAGCAAATTTAAGTTATTTTACCTTATTTATTACCCTTTAATGAATTAGTATAATTTATAAAAATTATTATATTGAACTAGGGTTTTTTTTTTTTAATTTTTAAATTCTAAACCACCTATTTTTTTAATAGGTATACTCAGATATTTGTGTTGAATATGAAATTTTACACATTTATATAAAACAATATTTATTTTAATAGAATCACAATACTTAATAGTAATTGTTAAAATATTGAATTGGTAAGGACTATATTTTTTTTTTTTGTTAAATATAGTTTCAACTGTTTAAGGCGGAGCCTTCAAATTATTAACTAATGTATTTTAGTTAACCATGAGAAATTCTTACAAACTAAGAAAATTATAAAATAAAAAATCGTTCTAAAAATTATTTTTGATTTCTTTTAAGTATGGGTGGATGACGTATCGTTAAAAGAAATAGCAAGAATATACAATGATTGGTTGGTTTAATTCATAGGTAATAAATTATTTTTGCCACCAATATACATAAACTAAATTAATGATGAATTTCTATGTTAAATATAAAATTTAAGACGCAAATTGTTTTTCTAAAAAATTAATTTATCATGATAAATCGTATAACTAAATCAGAAATAATTTTCCTATTTAAGAAAATTAATGTTTAGGTATTTTGTCGCTAAAAATATATTTAATATACAGTATTTGGTTGAACTCTATCATATATTATGTGTAAAAGTTTTTTGAACCTAACATTATTATCCTGTCCAAAAATTGCAAGTTTTCAATATTTTTTGAGTATAGAGTGAATTTGAATAATACATTCAAATTTATTCAAAAGTTTAGGACGATCAAATAAGAAGAAGACACTCCTTTTTTTTTTAAATACATGTATAATTTAGTTCTTCAATATCACCCTCTTTAAATTAAGGTCATATATTAACTGCGCAATAAAATATAATCTTGTGGTAAAATAAGGAATTTTTTCTTTTAACACTATCAATAAATTTCATATAAATTATAGATATTATTTTATTGAAAATAATTTTAAGCACATAATAAATCATGTGTTTTAGTCATTTTTTTTATTTACATGTAATAACGACTAATTGCAACTGAGCAAACTATTCATTCTAGTCAATATAAAATATCTCCTAAAAACTTTTAAAAACATAACTACATACTTTAAATTCTTCTAAACAATTATTTGTTGCTTTCAAAAGTACATTTTTTCGTCGTTCTAGAAATCGCAATGGTAAGTAAAATATATTATAAGTTATAATTATAAAATTGAATATTTTAATTGATTAATTTTTTTTAATTTGATTTTCAGAAATTCTTTTCTTTAGTTTCTTTATCAACTATGGTATTTATGGTCATCCATAATGGTAATAAACATATAATTTATATACAGAGTGATTTATTTGTCTTTGATACTTCATCGAAAAATAAATATAATATTTAGAATTTAACTTTTTATTTTATTATTTTTTCTCAACCAAACAGTATTTTTCATATCATCATTATTTCATTAACTTAAAATAGGTTACAATAATATGACTAGTTGATAATATCTATTAGACTATTTTGAACGTTATTATTGATTTAAAGTACTGACTGAATGTGAGGCATTGGTTATTTTATTTTTATCATTGGACAAAAAGAAAGAAAGTTAGTGTAGGAGGTGTCTATTTTCTGGGATTAACATTTTTGTAGTTGGTAGAATGAAAAGGTAGTTTTATGCTGTTGACCGTCACATCTCGGTCTGTTACTTTTGAGCTAAACTGACGGGTGTACAGACTATCCTTTTAGTGATACTAAAATACTCTAACCTTTAGAAGATCTTTGAGTAAATCATTATTACAACTCTATATTTTCTAGATCATTACTTGACAAAGTGTATAGCCACGTCTGGTAAGTTGAATTTATTAATATTTTTCGAACTTGACTGTTTATTAAATTATAAACAATAATTTTATAACCTTTGTATTTGCATGGATGTCTTAAATCTTTATTTAGGGCAGATAAAATTATTATTCTGTTCATTTACTTTTTTAAATTTATTTATAAATATCTATAATTGTATTAAAGATATATATAATCTGGGGCTTAATAAAAAATAGACATATTTTTAATATTAATTATTTTAAAGGCGTTCCCGAATCTTTGGGTGATGCTAACAAGCGTAAGTAAAATTAATAATAATTATAATTATTATGATAATTGTAATATACACTTCAAAATTAAATTATAAATGAGGCTTTGTGTATAAAAAATTTTTAAACTAAATGGCAGTTCAAATTTATTGTTGGGTCACGTTATTTTTTGAACATGACCTTTTTATTTAAGTATAATCAATATTAAAAATACATCCTCTGTACTTGCATTGGGACCTTGTATGTTTATTTAGCGTTGATAAAATTATTACTCTAATAATTTCCTTTTTAAAATTTTTTTGTAAATATCTTTAATAATATTAATGATGTTTATATAATATTTGTATACTGAAGCTTAATATAAAATTATAAACAACAGACATTGTTTTAATATTAATTATTTAGAAGACGAATCTTCCGATGGTGCTGACCAGCGTGAGTAAAATTAATAATAATTATTAGTATTGTTATACTTTATTTTATAAAAACATAATTTACAAAGATTTTCATTTTTCAATTTATCTAGCTATTTTATTCTTTTTATTAATTCTTTATAATTGTTGTTTAAGTTGTGTACCTGTACANATTACCTGTGCATGACTTTTTATGTGATATGTCTATTATTTACTAAAGGGAATAAAAAAGAATTAAGTTTCTCATATACAGGGTGGCCCACCACTCACTGACAACTTAAATAACTTTTGATCCATTTAATATTTTTAGCTGATATTTTTTTTAAATAATAGTTATACGTTAGGTCTATAGCTATATCTCAAAAATTAATTTTTTTACATTTTATTAAAAATATTAATTATTTTTTAATTTTAAATAAAATGTAAAAAAAAAAATCTAAGATAGCTATTTTGTAGAGTAGAATTTAAGAAAAATTTTAGTAAAAAAATATCTTATTAATATTCAGTAGTAAATATTCTGTAGCGTTTTGAAGTTTGTNATTGAGTAGTAAATATTCTGTAGCGTTTTGAAATTTGTGAAAAATTGAATTTTCATGTATTATTTTACGGTATTAAACATTATATCAATGTATTGAGAAAACGACAGAAGAAAACGCTATCTTTTCAATATACTTTTGAATGAGAGTGATAAGTAATAANACTATCATTTCATGATTACTGTGTATACATATGATGATAATGTGTATACATTACAAACTTGGCATTAATACCTTGATAAGAAATTAGATAAGGCAATTATTACTTATCACTCTCATTCATCTGTCCTTTTTAAAATAACATTATTTTCAATTTAATAAGTAGTTTATATTCCAGTGAAATTTTGAAATAACAAATATATAAGTTATTAAATTATACAGAGTCGATTCGACGCTTTTATTATGACAGTGATGTTAATAACTGTTATTTTACGAATGGTAACTTGTAGCTGTAATTTTTGTAATTATTGAAGATTTATTTTTTTCATTTTATAGCAATAAAGTTTTTCTACTTAATACATTTTCCAGTTATAATACTTTAAAATTTCGATTTTTTAATGACTAGTGATAAAAATAGTAGCAACCACTCTTCACCATCAGTCATTACGCTAAATTGTGAATAGATTCTGATAAACTGGTTCAAAAGTTGTTATCGACCAGTCTTCTTTATTATATTATTCAATATTTTCTTTATTAGATTATCCCTATTTTATATGTTAGTATGTTGCAAAATAAAAAATAAAATTAACATTTCTTTAAGTCACAAAGGATAATTCTAAAAAGTAATTTTTAGCTTATACATCAAGAAGTATGTGCAACTAAAAGTAATTAATTTTTTTTTTTCCAATATTTTACTTATTTTGTTAGTAATCGAGTGGTTAATGATAAACCGAACTTTCTGTAATATTGTTTGACGCACAAAAGTGTTGTACAGTGTAATCTGTGGCATCATTTGTGATTATACTAAACTTTTGTCCGGCTCATTATTTCACAAAGCCGTTCACATATCCTCTATAGTAAAAGCGTGCAATTTATTAAAAGTTGTCGTGGAAAACTTATTTAGCTTATCGAACAAAATTATATTTTCATGCTAAAATTTTACTATTTTCATATATTACATTTAAATGACCCAGTGTAGCTTAGTCTAGTTTGAATGAAAGTTGATCACCACTGATTTATAATGAAAATTATGACTGGAGCAAATGCCCAAGTTGAACGCCTCTAGGGCGTAATCATAGTTTTTAATAAGAGTTTTAATAAATAACGCGTTATTCAGATAATTGCAATTAGTTGGAAATGCGTTTTTAAATATGCAAAATAACTAAATTACAAAGACGTTACACAAAAAATAAAGTCGTTAGGGAAATGACTAACGTACTAATGTGTATTACCTAACATTGATTATAATATACATTTTTCTCAACAATATTATTTCATAGAAAAAAACAAATTTCACAAACTGTACTAAAATTTACTACTGTAAACAAACTGTACTAAAATTATACGTTAATAAAAAATGTTTATGTAAAACACTTTTTATATTTTTAATTATTTCCAAGAAAGTTAATATTATTTTTTTGAACTCTTAAAGCATTCTTAAATATTGACCACTTAATAAAAGTATAAATTTATTTTCTTTTATGTAATTACCAAGATATATTTTTTATTTTATAGTAGAAAATGGAAAATATAGCTCTTGTAAGTATAAATGTTAAATTCATTATCAAACTGATCGTTTAAATTACTTGAATATTTCAAAGAAAGGTTTAAAATATATGTGATCAATAATTAAAAATTAAAAATTATTCTTAAAGTTGTTACTATGAAGTTAAAATCCTTCTCATACATCTAAATTTGAATGACTCTTAGAATACTAACAATTGGTATCGAATTTCACACCTTCGTTTATTATATGAATTTCATAAATTTGTTTTTGTATAGTTTCAACAATCTGTAAAAAATGTAAAGTGGTATATTAATTATTCTTGGTCAACTGACAACGTTTAGGGTCATGCCAAAACAGAATGGCTCGGTGGGAGTCGGTCAATTTTGGATTTTCAGCGTCATGGCCTACCCTAACCGGTTTTACTGTTGGGGTAGTATGTATGTGTAGTGGTTGTGATGACGTCATTTACACTCTCGTATACTCTCGATGTCTATGCGAGTAGAGTATTACGGACACTGTTTGCTTTATCAGTGACGTCCTGCAGCTTTATTTCCCTGTCGGTGGTTGAGAGTGTTTTTATGAACGACGTTATTGATTGTTTTGTACGTGAAACGTTTGTCATTAATGTGTAGGTGGTTTGGAAAAGATAATGTTCGATTTCTTCGGTCTGGAACATGACATTCATATTAGATAGTTTGCTAAAGCTGTTCAATAATACGTAATTTCAATCAATCTATTGATCAAGGACAGATAAAACAACGGGGTTTTTTTTTAATGAATGTATAAATTTACTAATTTAATAATATTTTTGTAAACGTTATTTATTCTCTTTACATATATTTGTTTCAAGATTAAGTTACTCTAATTAGAGTAAAAATTAATTTTCTCTGCTTTGAAATTAAGTTTAATAATAAAATCCCCAAAAGAGACATAGTGTTTACAAATTTTTGATTTCATAAATTTATTTATTTATATTGGATCTGTTGTAAGAACCGGCAAAGATGAAACCTTTATTCGGCGAATTGTCGTACGAGTAGTGGCGTCATACAGACAATGTGGTCAATTTTTTAAATTATAGATAATGACTACATATCGGTTAACTATATATTTTATCTTATGATTAATGGTCAATCGTTTAAAATTGTTTTTCGCTCCCTTCCCCTCCTTCCATGAGTTGACAATTCCTTGGGTGTAGTCAGGGGGACATGGTAAACATCTCATTTGGTCCTCATTATTTATGTAGAGCATACCCATTGACATTGGTAACATATCCATATTACCCTGACATGCGTTGGATCTGTCATGCTTATGCATTCCCTATTTTGTTAATTTTATTTAATATTGTTGATTATAAAATTGAATATGCGATATTATAAAAAATAATCCAAATAAAACTAATTACTATTATGTAACTTAATATTTTATCGTAATGTATTTATTATCTATATTTCTCTCCTTTTCTATTTCTGTTTATTTAATAGATTTATTTGATATATTTACTATTTTTGTTTTATTTAACTCTGATACCAAGATTAGAAGTCATTAATTTTACCATGATGTGTATATTTTTTTTGTATCTGTCACAACTTTTCTCTCAGCTCTTGCAGGACTTAATATTCTCAACGTCATACGATAAATATTTGTTATATTAATTAGAAGGATTTTGTTATTATTTAGTCCATATCCAAAACTCCTATTTCAGATTTAAAATAGGCGCAAAATGACTTTAGAAAAGTTATTAAGATGTCTGATAAAAATTCCTTGTAAACCAATAAATTTATTTTTAAGTAACAAATAATTTTTTTTTGATAAGTATTACATCAAGCCCTTCAACTTTTATACATGTCAGTCATAAAAGTAATAACTATAATTTAATTTTTTATAACTTTTCCGTAAAAATTACAATAATAAATTATTGATAATCAATTTCATAATACGACGATGAATTGCTATAATAGATATTTATTCATATATTATTCTTATAAATCATAGAACAACTAATTAGGAATAATGATGGAATAGTAGTTTCAATAATTCAACAATTTCTTAAAATTAAACCTTATCTACAGATTTGCATCGAAGAGTTTCTTATGATAGTGATTTTAATGACTATCATATATCATCTATACTTGTCCCAACTATGCCACGTCCACACTGTGTCATGGCTATCGTTTTTGTTCTGTTTATGACAACTATATTTTATTTTATTTAATACATTTTAATAGTTGTTGTATAAATTTCTAACTGTTAATCATATAACCTTTACCCTAAGGATAAGTTACGAAATCCATGGTGGACCCTCATTGGGGTTTTTCTTTAAGTTAAGATTAATTTATATAAGTTTAGCTTATAACTTTTATTTCATTTTTTCTGAAAAATTGAATAAGTTTTACAGGCTAATATTTTTATCATAACCCACCCACCCAATTACTTACAGAATAAAAATAATTTAAACATTTTTTTTCTGATTATCTTTAGTTACACATTATTCTTAAATTATTAACTATGTAATACTTTTTAAGTTCATCCCTTATGCGTTGTAAGGAGTCAACTTTCTTTCTTATAAGGGAACACATATTTTGAATTTAATAAAATGTTTTAGTTTTTTATTTAATGGAAAATTAATATTTTAACTTGCTATTAAGTAAATGGCAATTGAATTTTTAATATAATTTTATTCGTTAATTAGATAGAAAATTTTAAAGTTTCAAATTTTTAGGTTAATACACATGTATAACACACGAGGGTTTATTGTTAATTATGTCTATGAATAGATATGCTTTCTGTATTATCAGTCAATGTATTTCTAAGCTCACAATAATGTGATCTATTATCATTATAAGAAATGCTGCGTATCTGCAGTCAATCTGCGTATCGAAGTCAATAAAGTATAATAAAACTTCAAATGCTATTTAATATTAAATTAAAAACTCAAACATTTTATTAAATTCAAAATATATGATCCTATTTAAAAAACAAAGTTGACACCCTTACAAGATATAAGGTATCAACTTAAAAAATATTACATAGTTAATAATTTAAGTATAATGTGTAACTAAAGATAATCAAAAAAAAAAAAGTTTAAATTATTCTTATTCTGTAAGTAATTGAGTAGGTTATGTTAAAAAAAATTAGCCTGTATACAGTTAAATTATAAAATATCATAATAGAATTAATACATTATCAGATTCCCTTCAAAGTTAAAATATATTAAATACATATTTAATGATTTTTCCATGTAAATTTTTCAAATCCGTTGTATTAAATATAATAATTTATATTTAATTTAAAGCTATATGTGGATGTTGTAAAAAACCACTAACGGTATCAGAAATGAGAATGTTCACCTGTGGTCATACATTATGTGAAAGATGTGTCAATTTATCTCTTAAATTATATCAGAAATATTGTCGATATTGTGAAGAAAATAAAAAAACAAATAAAAAAACAAATAATAGCAAAAATAATGAATTTATCCGAGATTGCTTATATTACATATACGGAAGTAAAGAAAATTATAAAATTAACTATGCGACACATGAATACATAGAGCATTTATTATCTTCTAATAATTATGATCTTAGCAACAGTGATATTCTTGAGCTAAAAAGAAGATTTAGTGGCGAGTAGTGTAATTTTATAAAAAATATAAAAATACCGTACATAAATTTAACATTGTTATCATTATTTATCCAAATTTTTCCTTGCGTTATTTAAAATAAAAATTTCCATATACGTGAAAATTAAATTTTTTTATGTTTTACATAAAATAAATTATGTTGTACAGGGTGATTTTTTTATCATAACCCACTCAATTACTTGCATAATAATAATAATTTAAACATTTTTTTTTTTTATTATCTTTAGTTACACAGTATTCTTGAATTTCTAACTATGTAATACTTTTTAAGTTCATCACTTATGCCTTGGAGGGGGGTCAACTTTGATTTTTTAAATGGTAACACATATTTTTAATTTAATAAAATGTTTGAGTATTTAATTTAATAGTAAATGGCATTTGAATTTTTAATATAACTTTATTAGCTTATTAGATATAAACATTTAAAGTTTCAAAATTTTGAGTTAATATACATGTATAATACACATGGGATTGTAAATACAGGTAGTTAATTGGATTTTTATGACATTGCTGTCTCAGTCACGGATTGTTTATTATCAATTATGATTATCAATAGATATACTTTCTGTATTGTCAGTTAGTGTATTTATAAACTCATAACAATGTGCTTTACTATCATTGATAATAACAATGCTGTGTACCTGCTAATATCGATGTCATAAAAAATCAATTAGCTACCTGTATTTGTAATCCCTTGTGTATTATACCTATATATTAACTCAAAAATTTGAAACTTTAAATGATTATATCTAATAAACGAATTAAGTTATATTAAAAATTCAAATGCCATTTACTATTAAATTAAAAACTCAAACATTTTATTAAATTAAAAATATGTGTTACCATTTAAAAAAACAAAGTTGACCCCCTTCCAAGGCATAAGGGATGAACTTAAAAAGTATTACATAGTTAAAAATTCAAGAATAATGTGTAACTAAAGATAATAAAAAAAAAAAATGTTTAAATTATTATTATTCTGCAAGTAATTGAGTGAGTTATGATAAAAAAATCACCCTGTATATGTGTTTCCATATGAAAATAGAATTAAATGTAAGCTGTAAGTTTCAATTTAATTTTTTCAAAAGTTGCAATTTTACATTTTTTCCCCTTTTACGCGAATACAAAATATATATTACGATGCCACTTATTTTACGGTTTTTTTAATTCGCTTAAAGATGACATTTTTTTTTTGTTCCTATCAGAACAAAAATGATCTTTGCAAATTTTGAGAACAATGCCATATGATTTACATAACACTAATGACTACACATTCATAAAATTAATTTTAATTGACAAATTTAAATAAATATGATCATCGCTATGAATCAACCGTAAAAATATTGTAAAATTTTCATCGTAATAAGGTGTAAATTGATTGTTAGATTTTTTAAATATTTTCTTCAGTTTTGTAGAGTTATTTGTTTTTATGGAAACACAAAGAAACGTTTTTTTAAGATAATCACATTATATACTCTTAGGTGCACATGAGACAGAGTGACGTTGACTTTTTTTTTGTAAATAAATACGATAATGTAATATTTGATAGGAAATATCGAATATTAACAACCGAACTGTTCGATAGTTATTATAAAACTACTAGAATAGTAAAGATAATCGATAGTTACCTAATATATTTAATAGTTTTATAAATATTTGATAGTTTATGCTAAAAATAAACTATTCGGTTAATGAATACTATTCAATAATTTAATATATTTAATAATTTAACACATGGCCACCAGACCCTCAATATATAAATTTATTATTAACTCATATTCGAAAAATTATAATTATATACGAGGTTATATATGAAGAATATGTAAGGATGTAATAATATAAATAAAAAAGGATTTAGAAAGGTGAGTAAACGGTGGCTGAGCACATAAGGGTAATAATCAAATAAATAAAATATACACAAACGTTTATGATAAAATAGTGGATTGATGGCGAGATTAATAATATTGAGTAAATGATGTAAACTGGAACTAAAAAACAAAAATATAAAATTCAGTTAAAAAGAATCATGTCGTGTCAACGAATATTAAATATCCCTTACCGTAGGATACACATCAATATGCTGTCGTGAAATTGTGTTGTAATTATTTATGCTATCATCGAGTTTTTGGTCTTCTCTCTATGTCTGGATTGTTGCCGCCATTTTAGCGTTTATTAGCTATAAGCTCTATGGCGCTTGTGAGTCATTTACATTAGCTTTTCATTCGTTTTGTTGTAAAGTAAAACATCACCTTTGCGATTGTCGCACTCTGTGTGCTCAGTATACCGCCGTTGGATCTATATATTTTCTGAGTTGCATGACAATACTGTTCACAGCATATTGTACATGTCGGTCAACTAATTGCATTTGACTTCAATTGATCCTTTCAATATTCAACAAAATCATCAGATGTTTTAATTAGCCGATAAGTATAATGTTTCTTCATCTTCTTTCTAAGACTTGCACACATCCATGGAGAATATGAGCTTTTCACAAATATTAGTTAAAATATGTGTTATTTTGATGTAAAATACTTCTAAATTACTTAAATTAATAGGGATTCTCCTTAAAAGTTGTTGAAGTTATTATTAAAGTCTATGATACATATATCGATATCGAATAATACTTTAAATTGCACAAAAATTAATTCACTTTTTAGACTGAAGAACATTGCTGACATATTCACATGACAATACAAGAAATAAGAAACAACATATATATATATTCGTATTATACAAAATTTATTAATTAAATTAAATACAATAAAAAAAACTATAACGACTAAAAAGATAACATTACAAGTGGAAAATAAAAATAAGATAAAAGAAATTCAAAACATTTAAATCTAGTGGAAAACTTATATTTAAATACAAAATAAATATTTAAAAAAAATAATACTTAAAAACATTTAACTAGCGTCGTATCAAATATCAACAAAAATCTCCAAAAAACGCCAAAATTGAAACCAGTTTATTAAAATTATTATAAAATTATTTATGAAATTTTTTTCAACTTGTAAATTATCATTGAAAGTATTGGCTAAAGACTGGAACTAAAAAATAAAAATACAAAATTCAGTTAAAAAGAATCATGTCGTGTCAACGAACATACTTCTGTAAGTAAATATTTCTTAGCAAGTGAAAAAGAAACATTTAGGGCAACTTTTCGGGACAATTCAAAAAACTTGAAGCCATCATGCGCCTGCTCGTGGCAAGTGTTTTTTAAAGTGTATTTTCTTTTTTGAATAATTAAGACCGACTTAAGGGGATGGCATGACAACAACGTCCGCTTTAAAATGATCAGCCAATTCTAGTAAATCGCCCACTATAAATCCAATATGTTTCTCCACTCCGTATATTTTTGCATTGTACATCGCCAGCCAATTTTTTTCCAGATTTTTGTCGATCGTTATGGCTGAATAATAAAAATTCAACATACACGTCAATTTTGTAATTCACGACAAAATTGCAATAATCATAAAATATACTGAGTTACTGTTATTTTAGTGAATTGATATTGGACACTCTATAGATTGATTAAATCATTAAAAAATGTTTGTACTGATTGTACTAGTATTCCTTTTATTACTAAAACAACTAACAAAATTATCGATTATCTTATCATTATAACTATTAACTATATAACTATCTCTATCACATTGACTAATACTACAGTTCATTTTCTTCTTGACAGTCTTCGAAGAGAAAAAAAAGTTCTCTACTCGATGATACGGAACAAATACGAACTAAACATGTAATAAATACATCCCGTCGCAATGTGGACACATTGATTATCGGTGCCTCATTTACAATTACCACTATTCACATTTATCCCTCCTGACACTACTCGTATTATAATAATTAAATTGTATTATAATATTAATAATAAAAAAATTCAATCCAGAAAAACGATTATGTAAATGTAAATACACATAAAACTAGTAAATATAAGCCATGTTTGAGCTCAAAGAAATACAAAAAAAATTAATAAAAATACATTTTGTAATAGTAAAAGCTTTTATTTACAATCTTAAAAATAAGATTTTGCAGTTAAAATAATTTTTTTACAAACCAAAATTTTTTAATGAAATTTTGAAAATTAAGTTTTTTTTTTTTCATAATATAATTTTTAGTAATGCACAAAATTTTGTAGTTTAATTTTAATTGTTATCCATTTTTATATATCATATGGTAACAAATAATGTCTTTGAATTTAAAAAAATGAACTTTTTTATACATATTTTATACTTTTTTAGAAATGGGGTCTAATAGATTATCTTATCATTATAACTATTAACTATATAACTATCTCTATCACTTTGACTAATACTACAGTTCATTTCCTTCTTGACAGTCTTCGAAGAGAAAACAAAGTTCACGGCTATTCTGTATATTTACAGAGTTAACGAGCTTCTGGGCGGCTCGTTGTCCGCGACCGCTTATTTGTCAGTCCAAATGAATGGACTGCTTATTTCGCAGCTAACCTGCATATCTGCAGGCCGTTCCTCTATCCGAAACATGAGGTCACGCCCGATTCCTCGAACTAGGGAAACTGCGCTCGTGCCAGAATTTCAACTACATTTCATACCTGCTGTAAGGTTTTTTTTTTAAATCGTGCCCTTCATAATCTATACATAGCCATTGTCTTTTGTTCGGTTACCACGATGTATCAAAAATCACTTGGCGTAGTGCTTCATCATCTACAGCGCGGTGTAATGGTCTAAGTCTTCCAAGATGTCAGTGGTTGACCGAGCCAACCGACATTGTCCTTATTCGCTTATTCGTCCGAGCCAATGAATTAGTGAATCTCGATGGTACGATATCACATCGTTGAACATAAATATAGGAGAAATATCTAACAGTGTGCTTACCGACTGTGATTAAAACTAATTTCAGTTAAACATTTTATTCACTCATAAAAAGACGATTTGAGTATTTCTAACATAGGAACTTTTTCAAATTTGTGTAAAATATTTATTAAATGTTTATTATTAGAGTTAACTTATTATTAAAATAAATAAAATGTATTGTGATTGGCT